AGCTGCCTTTTGGAATTTTCTGTTCAGCTCTTTGATAGTGTTTTATAAAATCAATTCCCATTATAATCCATGTCCATTGTCACATCATATTTTCAGATATTTCCTAATTTCTTCACCGCCTCCCGCCACCCACCAAATTCTGTAACCTCTTAATTTTTCTTCCCCTCCCAACCTAGATGCCTCTCCCCCTTTCCTTTAATCTTTGGAATTTTGTACATATCTTGCTAGTAATCCTTCTATTTTTACAATAATGCTTGAAGGAAATATTTGTCCTTATGAGACAGAGTTAGTTCACTCAGCATAATGATCTCTAGCCTCTCCCATGTTATATAGTATTTTTCAAAATAATTGCTCTTAAGCACTACAGAGCAACAAAGTCAGTCTAGAGACTAAATTGTGCCTGATCCAGGCCATGGTCTTAGCAGCCACTTGCTATTCATCAGAGAGCTGGACTCAACTAAGGAGGACAGAAAAAAGATTTTATCTATCTGAATTATGGTCCTGGAGAAGCATATTGAACATACTGTGGAGTGCTATGAGAATAAACAGGTTTATCCTTGAGAAGGAGAAGCCAAGTTGCTCCTTGGAGGCAAGGATTGTGAAGCTCCATCTTGGGTATGTTGATAGGCTAGGGAACAATTCTTGGAGAAGATAATCAAGCTTGGAAGGATAGAAGGACAATGAAGAAAAGGAAGACCCAGGACGAGATGGATTGATAGAGTAACTAGGGTAATGTGAGTAGGTATATCAGAGACAGTAAGATTGGCTCAGGATAGAGCAGAGTCCTGACCTTAGGGCATAGGGTCCCTATGAGCCACAGTCGACTCAATGGCACATAACCACAACATTATAAATGGTATTGTTTTTTAAGTTTATATGTTCATCCTTTGTTACTGCAGAAGAATACCCTGATTTTCAGATATTGGTCATACACCCTGACACTATTAAACTGTTCTACTAGGTTTCACCACTGGACCAATTGGCAGCTTTGTGATAAATGGAGAAAAGATAGATAGTATCAGCAATTTTAGCTTGCTTGGTTCCACAATTAACACTCTTGGCACTAGCAGTCAGGAAATCAAAAGACAAATTGCATTACGGAAATCTGCTGTCAGGGACCTCTCCAGAGTGCTGAAGAGGAAGGATGCCAGTCTAGAGACAAAGGTGTGCCTAGTCCACGCCATGGTCTTTAACATAAATAACAATTACTTATGCTATGCATCGGAGAGCTGGACAATGCCCAAGAATTACAAAAATTGAATTGATGCCTTTGAGCTGTGGTGCTGGAGAAGATTACTGAGCATACTATGAACTGCCAGGAGAACTAACAAGTCTGTCCTGGAGAAAGTGAAACCAAACTGCTCTTTAGAGGCAAGAATTTTGAAACTCTATCTCAACTAGGGTAAATGGAGTAATGAGGGTAAGTGTATTTTTCTTGAGTCCTTTGACTTTCCTGTGTACACTATCATATCATATGTATAAATGAAGGGTTCACATAACATTGTAAATTTGGATACTTCTTATTTCTTTATCTTTCATATTGCCCTAGCAAGAACTTCCAATAAAATATTGAGTAAGAGTGGTGAAAGTGGGTATACTTGTCTGATCCCTGTTCTATACCATGGACTGCTAGGAGAGCAAACAGATTCATCCTAGAGAGATTGAGAC